ATAGCTGGCTGGGGAATTCTGGGAGTTGAAATCCACGTCTTAAAATTGGCAAGGTTGACAAACACTGCACTAGACAAAGCTGGTGCAGATCTTGGAGGATTCTCTTGTCCAGATTGGAAAGAACATCTTTTCTCATGTACAAGCTATGAGGCTGCATTTCCGGGGGAAGAGGGGGGGGAGCTGGCATTGGCAAGCTGTCATTTCCATGCGCGCTGAGAGAATCCATCTCAAAGCTTGATCGCAGGCATCTTTCCAGAGCAGAATTCAAGGTTCTGCCTTTGATCATATAAAGCTCTGAACAATGGCCTGGCTTTTAGATACCTTAAAAGGCTGCTGCGCCATGCAGTTCCTCCACAAGCTCTGTAAGACTGGGAGGCTGAAAATAGTATGTCTACAAACCCAGCGGCCCTCCCGTTACAGCACCACCCTCCAGTTATGGGCAACTCCCAGGCTCAACTCTATCTCTTCCAGCCAAGCTGGCTAGGAATTCAAGAGCTCAACACACCTGTTTTGAGAAAGCTGAAGTTTGCCTCCTTGTAGCTAAATTTAGGTGGCTTTTACTGCCCCGCCCCCCCAAAGCTAAGCCTTTCTACAGAGCGTTCCTTGAGACATCTTGATGGATAAGATTTATTTTTCATCCTTTTTTCAATCTAGATGACTCTTGCCTTGCCCCCAATTCAGGGCCACCGGTGCATAACAGTCGGAGGTCTTCCATGCTAGAACAGCTCAGCATCAATGAAGGTCACCTCTGTGGTTCTGCTTGAACCATTTCCAAATTAACCAAAACCAGAAAAGATAAATTTCATTCAAATGTATGCAGATCTATCTATGCACATGTGTACACAGCTTTAAACAGTGCTCTGCTGGCCTCTTACAGCCTTTAGTGGTGGGCTGAGACGTGCTAATTTCAGTACGGAATTTTAAAAGGTTGGGGCCAACTTGGAAAAGGTCCTGTTCTTGGGAGTAGATCTCTCCATGCATAGAGAAGTGCCTTCTAAGACATGCAGACCCCAGATTAAACCTACATTCACAGATGTCCACGGGGAGGAAGGGTGGAGGCAAGAACTTATGATGCAAGCACATAAAGGCAGAATTTGTATCGTGATGTCACTGAATGGATGTCAACATTTTATCAGAGTCATGGTAGGTTGTGGACACTTAGGCTGTTCACACAGAGGCAGGCAAGCTTCACACCTTCCCTATCTTTTTAATTTAAACTTATTGCTGGCCCAGGATGCATGTAAATGGTCAAAGAAAAACATGGCTAGGACTTAGGAAACTGCACAATAGATTAAAAGAGCCCTTCTCATAAGATGGAATGAGGGACTTGCTTTGGGTGAGGGATCATAACCAATTTATCTTTTTAATTCAACAGGGAGAGAGAGGAAAGAGGGGAGACTGGGAATAGGGTTTCCTGTTTCAAGTGCCATCAATAAGACTTTCACTAGAGGTCCTCAAACAGAAGATGGATGGTCATCTGTCAGAGATGGTCTAAAGCAGCTGGCTGGGGAATCCTGAGAGTTCAAGTTCACACGTCTTCAAGTCGCCAAGCTTGAGAAACCCTGGTCTAATGGATCCTACACTGAGCAGGAAGTTGGATTAGAAGACCTCAAGGTGCATTCCCACTCTAGGGTTCTAGAGTTTCCCTGGATGATCTCAGGGCACTAACCAAGCCTCCTCAACAATGCAACTGAAGGGCACCAAAACTGGCCACCGCTTACCTTGGCACTGCGTCTCCTTCATGGCCGGTTCATATCCAGCTGCACAAGTACAAGCTCCCACCGGTACCATCCATTCTCCATCCCCGTTACAGTAGAGTTTTAAGGGCACGGAGACTTCCACGGCGTTGGGGATGCAGGTCCCCGGAGCAATCACCAGGGAGGTTGGCTCTGCCCCTGTCAAGGTCTCCGGGAAGACGGCAAAGCCCGCAATGGTGCTGGAGCACTTCTTGTAGAAGGCCCGGACAGAGATGAGTGACATGCAGGCGCCCAGATCCTGGAAGGCCAGATAGAAGCCGTTTTTGGAAAGGGGCCCAAAGCTGCGCACCTTGGTGTTCATCCGGCCAGATTCCAGCTTGGAGAAACTCTCATCGGGGGCAATTGTATCCACTTTGATGTAAGGGTTTTCCATCCAGAAGGGGCTGGAAGCCGAAGCCGAATCGGTATCGGACTCGTAATAGAAAAGATTGAAGGTCTCTTTGCAAGAGCCAGGGATGTTGGGGATGCTATTACAGTCCCTTACGGTAAACTTCAGCTCGACGTAAACCCGCTGGACGTCGCGGCGCTGAATGAACTGGGTGCGTAGCCAGTTATTTTGGTTGGCGTCTCGGACATTGCACACTTGATACGTCCGGATGGGGTTCATGGCCTCATCGTACCCGCTGACCTCTTCCCACTGCGCAAAATGAAAATGGTGTCAGTGGGTTAACAAACCAAAACAGGAGAGGGATGGGGAAAGTGGGGGGGCTGCTAGGGAAAGGAGATCTTCGGAAATGCTGCTGGGTTCCAAATTATTTTTAAATTTGGGGTGTGATGACAGAAGGGCCAACTTGCTATTATGCAGGTAAATCCTTCAACCTATATAAATTACATATACTGGGAAACTTCGTACTGTTTCTCTTCCTTTGCATAATTTGTTTTCTAACTGTTATTACTGTTCATTCGTAATATGGATTACAGTTAACTGGGGGTAGGGTGGGGCCAGAGAAAGAAAGTTCCCTTTTCGCTATTGAGAATCTAAATTTAATCTCTGGCTTCTTCCACGTCAAAAGTGACACTGCCTCAATAAGGACTATGTATCGTAAGTACCAGAAACATGGGGAGGATGTGCTTTTAATTTACAAAAAGGAAAACCCACCTGCACCTTAGGGCTAACATGCATAACTGGGTGATGTTTCTTCTGAAATCTTAAGGAATTTAAATTTCAGATACCCAGAATGCCTGTTTCTTCACCCAACATTTTTATCGCTTATATTTGCAGGGTTTTGTCATACCTATACAAAGAGAAATCGATGGCCATCTCACCCTAGAGTTTGTCTGCCACCTGAAGTCCTTCATTACCTAAAAAAACCAGGGCTCGGTCAAAAAGCCAGGGCCTTCCTTTTATTAATTTAAAACCAATCCTCATTAGACAGAGGATGAGCTACAAAGCGCCAGCGGGTCAAAATTAAAAATGAAACCTGCACAGGCATCAACTAGCAAACGTGACTTGGTCTCAAGCCACAGAAATTGAAGTCCCAACAGAAAATGTACGAACAGGGGCAACTTCGGGCAGGTCCTTGCAGCGTTCCTAGCCCTGGTTTGGAAAAATTAAATAAAAAATTAAAATAAATAAATAAATAAACAAACAAACAAACCACCTATCAACTGTGGCTGGTGCCAAGAGAAGATGGAGAGATTTCCCCACAGCCCCACCCGGCTGCCAAGTCCTTGTCTGTGAATGAGGCGGCATGGAAAAAATGGAGAAGCCGGGTGCATTCTTGAGCACTGCCACCTTTGTCAGAGGCAAATCTAAAAAAACTGTTGGCAAGCAAAGGCACAGCAGGAAAGTGGTGGGAAGAAATATCCATTCCAGCAGTTAACTGCCTCTACTTGCAAGATCTTTTCTTGCAGCCATGAAGTCAATAAAGGTGTTAATGAATAACACAATCCAATAATATTAGTAAGCAAGTAGGGCTGGAGAAGGCTTAGTGCCCACAGGGCAGTGCTAAACTTTCCAAGGATCAAGGAACAAGAGGCTGCTTTGGAATACGTGGACTTGTAACTGTTCAAAACATCGGTGGTACAAAACTGGGGATGCCGATGTGGGTTTGTATCTGAAGTTATTCCAACTGCGGTCCCCAACGCAGACCCGGAGGTTTATGACTTCATGTTGTGTGAATCTAACCTTACCATGTCCTTGCGATATACCCAAGGTGGCAAGTGAGGTTTTCACATGTCTTGGAATGGCGGTCATTCAGTGACAAAAAGGGGCAAAGAGATTCTCTTCTGCTGTGGCCATCCTGGTCATTAAGCTCCTAAAATGTCCTGTTCCTTGATCGTAGCACCGCATGAAGTAGAGGAAACTCTTGCCTGCTTCCAAACCAGTTCAGATGAACTGCTTTATTATGTATTTATTGATTTGATTGATATCTCATCTTTATTTTGTGCAATTCAAAGTGGTGTACATAATGTTCCCCTTCTCCTATTTTCTCCACAATAACAACCCTGTGAAGTGGGTTACGCTGAGAGAGGGGGACTGGCTTAAGGCAAGATTAGAACTCATGGACTCTTGGTTCCTAGCCTAGGACCTTTAACCACTACACCAAACTAGCTCTCAACGTAGCACAAATGCAGTACAGGGAGTCCCCAGTTTAAGAACGAGTTCCGTTCCCAAGATCTGTCCTTAAGTTGAATTTGTATGTAAGCTGGAACAGTATTATTGTATAATACTGTGTTTCTCAACCTTGGCAACTTTAAGATGTGTGGACTTCAACTCCCAGGATTCCCCAG